CACATCGCAACCCCAAATGGCGATCTTCACAACCCTAACCAATGCCAACTCCGCCGTCCCCCTCATCCTCCTCCTCATCTTAAACCTCCTAACACCTCTTGCCTCATCCCTCTCGTCAGACTCCGTCGTCTCCGAACTCTCTGCCCTCCAATCCCAATCCTCCACCGGCGTCATCCACTTAACCGATCCTCTCCTTCGCCGCATCCTCTCCCTTCCCACCCCTCGTCCATTCCACTTCCTCCTCTTTTTCGACGCCCAATCGCTTCATTCCAAGGCTGAACTCTCCCTTCCTACCCTCAAATCTGAATTCGCACTCGTCTCTTCCTCTTTCTACACAAACAATCCAGACCAGAAAGGACTTATCTTCTTTTTTGAAATCGAATTTCAAGAATCCCAGTCGTCTTTCGCCCTTTTTGGGGTCAACTCCCTCCCCCACATTCGCCTATTTCCACCTTCAGCTACTGATCTGAAGAAAGATTCAATCCCAATGGACGCCTCAGACTTTTCGAGATTGGCTGAATCGATGGCTGAGTTTATCGAATCAAGGAGTAGGCTTTCTGTGGGGCCCGTTCATCGCCCACCCATTGTTTCCAAGAAACAGATCGCGTTTATAGCAATTGCAATTTTGATTTGGACACCATTTTTTCTGAAGAAATTGATAGCTGGGAACACTGTTTTGCACGATAAGAACATTTGGATGGCTGGGGCGATTTTTGTGTACTTCTTTAGTGTATCAGGAGCGATGTTTAATATAATTAGAAAAATGCCCATGTTCTTGCTTGACAGGAATGATCCGTCGAAGCTGGTTTTCTTTTACCAGGGATCTGGGATGCAGTTAGGAGCTGAGGGTTTTGCAGTCGGGTTCTTATATACAATCGTAGGACTTCTGTTGGCTTTTGTTACTCATGTGCTGATTAGGGTTAAAAACAGGACTGTACAGAGAGTGACAATGATTATTGTGCTGTTAGTGTCGTTCTTGGCAGTCAAGCAGGTGGTTTTCCTGGATAATTGGAAGACGGGCTATGGAATTCATGCATACTGGCCTTCTAGCTGGCAGTAATGGCATTGCGGAAGTAGAGATTGAAGATGTTATCTTCACTTAGGTAAGAGGTTTATACCAGTTTGAATATGTAGAAGACTTCGTTCAAAGTATAGCTCATAAAGATATCCAAACTTGAGCATTTTACTTGAATGGATTTTTAATTTCTTGAAACATTTTAGTATACCGTACCAGATACTCTATTTTGGTGGTGTTGTATTGATTTTGTTATTGGTCTGTATCATTTACTAAATTATGGGTGCTGAAAATTTTGCATTTGACTTGTCCACACCTAACCCATGGGCTTTATGGTTATTTAGATAGGCAACATCTAAGCAAAAGGTATTCTTTGGCAGATTTTACATGCTCAATGAGGAAAATTAACGAATCAAGAAGCGATAAATGATGATAACTTGTGTCTGTATCGCATTGGTTCATTCTTTGTTCTGATGTCTCAGATAATACTGTTAATGAGGGACAAAGGGCAGTTGGAATCTTAGCTAATATTTAGGGACATCAAATATAATTATGAGAGGACTGGTTATTGTTTTTCTTTGGATAAGGGATTAATAGTTTGGTAGTTGATAATTTTCGGGATGAGTAATACTGAGAATGCGAAGGGCACTGATGAGACCGTGGTATTTGGCAAATTGCTCTTTTGTCCTGAAATATTTATTTTGCGTCAGATACGATCGTAATTTGGATATTAATCTGGTCTGTAAATTTAGATGATAAATATGAGTTCCATTGTGGAAAATTGAGAGTTTTTTGACAATGAACTGAGAATTTAGGAAATAAATTCTAGTGGTTAAAAAGGATGGTTCTCTGGGAAAAGAAAGAACGTTTAATAAAATATAATCACATAGTTGAGTTTACTAGTATTGATAATAACATTGTGGCCGAACTAAGTTAGCGCCTTTTTCTCCATTACCCTGCTCTTGAGATTGCTGTCTTCTTATATTTGGTGCTCCCCCAACTTTAAGGATCCAAGTCCAAAAAAATTAAGCAGCTGAAGCCCCCAGAATTGTATAAGAAATGGTGTGGCAGGATTTTTTTATTATTTTTTTAATTCCAAAATAGATATTGGAGATCTTACATTGGTGGTGACTAGCATTGCAAAGATTTTGAGGACTGAGTGGTATACTGATGTAGAAGTGCGCCTTCTACCTGCATTGCTTCTTTATTTTAGTTGAGATTAGAATTAGTGTGAATTAGGTTGCTTTGAATTCTGATGCTAGGACTCTTTGAGATGGTCGGAGTACTCGACCTGGGTATGGGTATGGATATAATATATGTGTCGGATGCTCCAAGTTTCAATTGAACACTTTGCCTTTTTT